GAAATCTGGTGAATCTATTTATGTTCAACCCAGAGTATGACTAAATTTGCAGAAAGCTCAGCTGAGAGCAACCCCCTCAGTGTTGCTGCAAGGCCCTTTACCTGCAATGCAGTGCTATGCATCTGCAGCTAGGTGGTGGAGACAAATCCTTTTTCTCCCTCCCTCTCGCACAAAGCTTTGCTGCTTTCAGGGAGAGCCAGCACTCCACCAGTGGTGTGTGCACCTCTGCTGCCTGAACAATCTGCTAGCTGATTCTTTTTTAATGGCTCTTTCGAAAACTGTTGGTTCATCTTCAGGGGTATCTCTATCAATGGGAGTCCGTGCTTCGTGCAGGTAGGCTTTTCTTTTGTCTCGTGTGAACTACTGCTCTTCTTAAGGGCTTCCTTAGAGGGGAAAAAAGGACTTTTGTGTCCCTAGATGAAGACTTTTGTGGATTCCATGAAAGCTCTCACGCTTGCCTTAGAATACTGCAACTCGACGTCATCTTTTCTTCTTCCTTAAAATATTATCTGATCATGTGATTGCAGAGGCAAGCTGCAAATCTAGTTAACTCTTGAGATTAATTAGGAGGTAGAGGGAACAAATATAAAAATTCAAATCAGGCTGCATTTTAGTGTAGCATTGAGCATGATAGTTATAAAAATTATTGTCTCTAAATTCTGCTGAGTAGCTATATATCACCCAAGTGTGGTTTCTTTCGAGGCTTCTTTTAGCATTTTTGCCATATTGACAGCTATCTGCTTCTTACTCCCTCATTTTAAATACAGGCAATGGGGCTCTTGCTCTCTCCAGCAGCCCTATCTGCCTCTTTGTAGGCTAGGCTGTCTGGGTGAAGGATGCAGACAGATTGGATGTTATGAGGTTTTTGTGTGAGAATATTTGGGGGTTTGGTTTGACTGAATTCTTGTTCTCTATTTAGTAGAGAGTTGAATCTTGTTACTTACTTTGACCATATTAGTGTCCCCTTTTGATCTGGCCCTGCAGTTGGCATTTTAGAAGTCAGGCTATTATGGGGAGTCTGATGCCTTCTAATGAATTTGAGTAGTAGAGCAAAGATAATTTGGAGGAGAGAATTTTTAATTTTAAATGCTATTATGAAGATCTGTCTGTTACATGTGGCTAATAATAGGGGAATAATTAACTGTAATGTAGAACTGTCATGTCTTGCAAGACTGAATCTCAGCTGTGGGACAGTGCGAGATGCAAACTATAGGGTGCATCAGACACCAGATGGTCAATAGCCGTGACATGTTGGTTCCATTTAGGATGGGGGGCAGAGGGGGGTTTTAAATTTCCAGCAGAATGGCCTGGGTGGTTTCTGATAACTTCCTTGATGCAGGAAGAGCACTGCAAAGTACATCAGTGGTTTTCAAACATTCCGTTGTGGACCACTTAAGATGAATCTTCTTGTGGCCCCACTTTCTTGTCCCTATCCCACACCTTCCCTGAAGCAACTATGTAGTACTTAGTTACATGAAGGGAAAAAAATCTTAGGGCAGTATTGAGGAGACTGACTGTGGTGGGTGTGGCTGCTGGATTTAAATTCCCTATTCTGTCTGCTGTTTTTCCTCTCCCTGGGTGTAAACTGGGTATTAGCACCCAAACCCTTCTCATTGCTGCAGCTCCCAAGGCGCTCATCCATCATAGCACATCTGGATTACTGAAACCTTTTTTTCTCTGGCCTTGACTGTGCAGTCTTGCCCCACTCGGATCCATTCGGAATGCTGCTTTGACCATCTCACCCCTCTTTGTATCCCTCCACTGTCTCCCCCTTCTCTAGCACATCAAATATAAGCAACTTGTCTTCACTTTCAAACCTCTTCAAGGCCTATCCCCTTCCGACCCATCATTTATCATTCACTCCATCATCCACTTGCCAAGTTTTCAAACTGGTCCTTGAAAGGAGCAACATCCTTAAAGCCACTTCATTGTTCTTCAAATCCCTTCTTAAAACTCCACTTTGCCATGGCTACAAAAAAAATTAACAGGTAGTCTGCTGGTGTGCTGAGACAGCTGACTATCATGCTGACCAATATTGTTTCCTTGTACTCCCCCATATGTCTGTATCCATCTGTGTCTTGTCTTAGGGCAGGACCACCTTTTTGTTCTATGCTTGTACAGCCCCTAGCCCAGTGGGCTCCTGATCCATAGGGAGTATTGCTAGGTGCTATGATAATACAAATAACACAACCCTAGCCACACCATGTTCCTTTGCAGTTTGGTTCTGTCCTCTTGTATTTACTATCTGGCCTAGTTTTGGGGTAGCATACGAACTTGTTCCCTCTCTAATTTTCACCAAATAAAGTGACAGACTTCAGCTAGCTATGCAGGGTGCAGAGAACTGCTTGGGTTTTTTCCATTTATTTTTAGCTTACAGTCGTGAACTAGGTCAAACTACAGTATTGGAAATCATTGCTGTTTGAATACAGATAGATGCATGCATCACTGTAGTGTGGTAATCTCCTGGAAATGTTCGTGTGGTACAGTTCAGGACCAGTGATCTACATGACTTGTCAAGTGCTGAATTCTTAAAGCACAAGGCCTCATGATGCCCTAAAATACAGAAGACCAACTGTCAAATTCTCTGGAGAACAGCAATACTGATAAGTTACATAAGTCTTAATAGGCTGCTAAGATTAATTGCCTTGTTCAGCTTATAAAAAAGGGTTGAAATCCTCATGAGTAGTGCAGCATATGCATGGGAAAGGGTTAAGTGAAACTTGCCTTCGCATCCCATGGCCTTCCATTAAAACCAAACCGATCACTTGTGCAAATGTAAATTGTATAGTGTGCTCCATGCTGTCCTAAGGTGACTAACATGACTCTTATAGTTCAGTTCTGAACAGCTAAAACTGCAGTCCACATCTAATACTGTACTGACTAATGTAACCAGCACTTGCCTCAGGCTTAGTCTATGCTCCTGAGTTAGGTCAATGTAAGGCAACTTACGTCGACATAATTACGTTAGTGCACATATTACAGCCTTGCTCCTGCTGACGTAAGTGCCCTACTACACCGACATAAAACTCCACCTCCAGGAGAGGCTTATGTCGTAATTAGGGCAAGGTAGTGTCCTGTAGAAACTGTTACTTACATCAGCGGTTGGCTGTCATTCTTGTCAATTTCACTGCTCCATCCTGGAGCGGGGAGCCAGGTGTGCTCTCAGCCCTCCACACCGCCCCTCTTAAGCTGGTGGAAGTGCTCCTGGTCAGGACGCGCACCTCTGGCAAAAAGAGGGTAGTGTGAACATGAACCACTGCGGTGGTTGTAAGTTGACCTAACATTTCTAGTGTAGACATGCCCTCAGTAATCATTGGGTTTTTTTGAGCAACGTGGTAATAGAATTTTAAGCAAGGTGGATGGGAGGCATCAATTATTAACTTATGAAAACACTAGTTGTAATACAGTAGAACTTTAATTCACACTGACTAGAAGATTCAATGTAAATGAGTGGATCTTGTCTTAGTATGTCATGCTATAAAAGATGCGTTGATATATTTTGTCAACGGTAGTTTTTTTTTATACTTCACTTCTAAAAATGCAGTCTTAGTGATGGTATATATCTACAGTGTTTGTACAGTGCCCAGCACAACGGGGCACCGTTCTTGGTTAGCCCCTTAGTTACTACCATAATAAACATGATTGATAGACTGCATACTTTCTTGTGCATTATATAAGATTGGTAGGATAACTCTGTGAAGGGGATTGATTAGCTGTGTAAGGTTTTATGTCTAATAAATGTATTTTTCTATTTGCTTTAAAACAGACGAAAGACTTTCCTTTTTTCAGGACTTTCACTGTCTGTTACTAATGGCACAGTTAATGCAACTGATAAAGCACCTATTCTCTGCATTTCCCAGTACTTTATTACAATGGGATGATGACCTTCCTGCAGCCCTCAGTTAATAAGCATAAACTGAACACTGACAGCTAGCAACTAATGGAGAAGTGGGGAGAAAATGTTACTCTGGACCAGTTTCCATGGTTCCTTTGAGTGTTTCTGGATTTAGAAGGTATCATCCCTTAAAGGGACATTAACAGCTAGTTTCAGTATGTGGCTTTGAAACTGTCATACACTCAAATTTTAACTTAATGTTTTTGGGGATTTAAACACCCCCTTACAGCATTGGAAAACAAAATATTGTGCTGATGCACGAGAACCAGAAAGTGACACTGACCAACTTAACTTTGTTGTTCCTGCAGTTAACCTAGTACAGCATATATGGTGAAAAGCTAACTAGGCTCTGAAATTTTCATCTATAGACATCTCAGTTGTTAGTAAAAGAAAAGAGGGATCTTTTAAATGTGTTTCATCTTCTGTATTGGAGTACAAAAGGCACAGGTTTTAAAATGGCAGCCACTTAATTCTTTTCTTAAAGAGCAAGTTTTTAATTCCTCTTTCCTTGCAAGATATCTGTTCGACTCCTAAAGTCTAACTGGTTTATACCAACCCCTCCTCAAAGCAGATGGTGAAAGTCTGCTTCACTGAGAAGGGGCTGCAGTATTCAAGCAATGTCACTGAATCCTCTTAATCGGGGACGGTTTCATGTAATGGGCATGACATCAGTCTTTAATTAACGCTTTTTACTCATTTTATGGTCCTCAGATTCAATATAAATAGTGCTTTAAAATATAAATTGCTAAAAAACCTCACTGACTTGAAATCTTTAGTGTGAAAAGAGACTGGAAGAACTCCTGAGGTCAGTAACTTATCTCAGTGGGATCAGCTGGGTTTTAACTCATTGTAAAAATTGTGCACGCTTCTTGTTCTGACTATAAAAAATGCCTCTAGAGAACAGTCAGTTGCGTTTCTCAGATATGAAGAGGAAAGAGATGCTGTTTATATGCCACCTGGCATTTCTAACCTGGGAGTAAAAGCCTTTAAATGTGAGAGTAGGTTTTCTGAAGGCCACTTACTACTGTTCTCTTATCCCCTCTCCAATTCTTTCTGTTGAATTGAAACCTAATCTGTCTGCACCTTTATGTTCATACCTTCTCAGGCCTGAAACTCAACATCGAGGCCCTGCTACTCATTCAGAGAATGATCTCCCTGAACAAGAGGAGGAAATTCTGGGATCAGATGATGATGAACAGGAGGATCCAAATGATTACTGTAAAGGTGAGAGGTTGCCTCTTTAGACTCTTGCTAAATACAGTTTGGTGGCATTCTCTCCCCTGTGGGCATTAAGACTGTGGTCAATTACAGACTTATATCAGTATAACTGTCGCTCAGGGGTGTGAAAAATCCACACCCCATGAGTGACATAATTATACCGATCTAACCCCCAGGTGTAAACAGTGCTATGTCGGCAAGAGAGCTTCTCCCGTTGACATAACTACCGTGGAAGTGGATTAGCTACACCGACGAGAGAAGCTCTCCTCCAGTAGGCAGAGACGTATCTTCACTTAAGCACTACAGCTGCACTGATGCAGTTAGTGTAGACCCTGTCCCTTGTCTCCTAAGAGGTATGCACAGCGAGAGAGAAACTATTTCCTTGGTGGATAAAGAGAATCTGTCAGAATGGAAGCTAACTTGTGACTACTGTGATGTGGATATTAGAATTGTTGGTTGATAAGATTCTTAAACCTTTCTACTCTTGTTCGTGAGGTCTCCCATCACTTGGGAAGAGGTTCCTTTTGACTACCAAACCAAGCCAGGATCTGCTTGAAATTTTACCTCTAAGATGTGGGGATAAGTTTGGTCCTCACTGTTCTGTCTGTGTTAACTTGCATCCTTGCAATCTGATCATTGGGACACTTGACAAACCCATTACCCATCTGCCTCGAAGAGGAAAGAATTAGCTGAGCTTTCCTTGGAAGGTGCATTTGTCAGCTGTGGAAGGGAGAAGAGTCAAGATTCTGAGACTTTAATCTCTGCTTATGGCCGCATTTTTTGGAGTCACGTTAAGATGGTAAAGCCATGCAGCTGCACCTACCTATTCTATTCTCCTTTTTTTTTTTTAAAGGTCATCTGAAAGGCTCTTTACCTGTCAAGATCTGAGCTGAGGGTTCTGTTTTTAATGCATCATTTAAGGATGTCATCAGTGCTCAGATTATTCACACAAACAAATTTATGGGTATATTTTCTAAGACAGCACACTTAGGTGTCCAGCTCTCTTTGACTTTCAATGGGAATTGGCCACCTACCTCCTATTTTTGCCTTTGAGAACCCCTCTAGGCTCTGCAGCCCTCTAACATGCCTGTAACATACCAAAGATTCTCACACAACTGGTAGCAACAGTTCACAGGCTTTCGAAACCATGCTCTAAGGATGGCTGTGCCCGCTGCTTTTGTGATGATCTGCACTGGTGAAGTGCTAATGTAGACCGCAAACACTCACCTAGCAACTGATTCACAGCATTTGGTTCTCCCAGTGCAATCCCTGAATGCTACTGCCCACTCTTCAGTGATAACTTGTCTTTGACAGCTCAATACACTGACTCTGTCTTCTGTCAAGATGGCTACATGAAAACAACCCAGATCAACAAGACACAAATATAACAAAAAAGCAGCTTCTCATTTTGAAAACTTTTGTTTTGTTTTTTCCCTGTTCCCTTCCCTTGGTATTCTCCTGAAAAGATAAGAGGAAATGCATGCACACTTCTGAAAATAGAATGGAGTCAGTTATGCCCACCATATTTGTGCAAGTAAACCCACTTCTCTACCATGCTCTCCTTGCAGAGCTCCTCTGGCGTAATTAAGGGAATGGGGAGAACTCTGGCCTACACAGAGAGACCCAGAGCATTCCTGTCATTGGATCCTGAAGGAAACACATGAAAACCTTTATTCAGCTACAAAGTAAAATAAAAACAAAATGAAAGGGAAAAAACTATCAAAGAAATGAATGAAAGGAATAAAATAAACTTCTTCCCTCCCTGTAGCATATTCTGGATCTCTGGGCCCACAGCTCTTCATGCAGGTCAGAACCATTCAATGCAGGCAGTGGGGGGAAAAGCAAAAAAGGGAACAAGTGTTAAGTCTACACTGTAGACAGTAGGTATTATATACTTTGTCCACGGGGCTGTCCCTGACATTTTGGAATGGGTGTAGTATCTCGCCCCTCTATGAGCTGAGGGGTGAAAACATTATCCATAGGTTCTACAGCACCAGCAGGGAGGGCTATGTATAGACACTGTATACACCTAAAACAAATACATGGGATAGGTGTACTGCCCTGGGTCCATCACAGTAGTGCAAGTTACAGTGGAGCACTTATCAACAGTACATGCAGGAAAGTGTGTTGCTTTTGGTGGTGGTGGCACAAACGGTAGCAAGAGAGAGAGAGCCCTGGATGAGTTTTGCCAGGTAAATAACAGTAGAAACATTGACAAACTGTTATTAAATAGACTTAGTTACAAACACCTGTCTTAAAAGGAATGTTAAGATTGAAAAGTCACGCTTTCAAAAGTTAGGAAATGCCAGAAATAAGGTTGTCCATGCAACATTAATTCAGCCCCCTTGTGCATGTGTATTGTGACAGTCTTGAATTATGATCACATTTTTTTTCACAGGCCCATGTCTCATTCAGTACACGGGATTGGATGTTGCTCACTGTATGGATAGTTATTGAATATTTTGTCTTATCCTTACTATTCAGCAGTGTCTGTATCTTATTTACTGCACACCCTTCAGACCCTGTCCTGAATACAGAATTTATTAATTTCCTTGTGGGCTTTTTAATGACACTCATCACCATAGAATGAGTGTTTCCAAATAATTTATCATCACAGCGCCTTTGAGATAAGGTGGTGGTATCCCCATATTACGGCTGAGGAACTGAGGCACAGAGATTAAGGCCAAAACTATCCGCTAATATGAGTGCCTAATTTGAGACCACTAGGGTCTGATTTTTTTCCCCCAGAGTGCTTAGGGGGTTTATAGCACTTGATCTATTTAGAATAGATCTCCATTGCCTTCAGTTGCAGCAGAGTGTGCTCAGCACTTCTGCAGCTCAAGCCCCAGGTATCTCTAATTGTGTACTCAGAAAATGAAGAACAAATTAATAGCCACTTATGAGAGATCTCATTTTAAGTGACTTGCCCAGTATATTATTGAAACCTTATGGCAGAAGCAAAGAGAGAATTCACTTCTCCAAAGTGGCATTCAAGTTCCTTAACTATCCTTTCCCTTCCTGCAGTCTCCTGCCTCCTTCACAACACTTACTCCAATTTTGCAGCAAAATGAGATAGGGATTCTATAGACAGCAGTCTCATTCACTACACAGTTGTGATTTAATCCCTGAGCAACATCCATTTTGTGCATTGAACGAGGCAGAGATTTTGTGAGGAAAAAATAGTATGAAGTAAGTATTCACCCACGAAAGCTTATGCTCCAAAACGTCTGTTAGTCTATAAGGTGCCACAGGACACTCTGTCACTTTTATGTGATCATGTTACTAAAGACTCTCTCAGTGCATACGCATAAGGGGACCAAAGAAATGTTGCACAGGAAATCTTAATTATAGCATTTTCTAAATTCTTAGTGCTTGATTTAATGTTCTTTTAACACAGGAAAATGCATAAAAACATCATTTTGAAAAGGAGCTGGACTCCTACATGGGTCATGAGAATGGTTTGACCCTTTAGATCACCGCACAGACTTCTGCCACTTGAGCTAATGGAGTAGCTGATAGCAGTAGCAGGCTGTCATCTTTGTGGATCAGCCACTAGAGGGAGATGAAATGTACACTTTTCCAGGGGGTTTCCACAGATACTTGTCATCGGCAGGTATGTTAGACACTGGAATCCAGGGTTCAATTCCAAGTTCTATAAGGTTGTGTGTTGTCATGGTTACAGAGACCCCTCTGCCCCGTCCCCTCCAGCCGCCTTTAGTTTCCATGTCCCTGGCTTTTCATCCCTCTGCATATTTCAGTGATGCTACTTTCTTCTCCCATGCTGCCCAGACACCAGGAGGGGGGACATTGGGAATACAGGAGAGACAATATCCCTGCTCTCCATTCTGGTGTCTGATGCCGCAGCTCCCTCTAGCAATCAAGCGGAGCAATTTTGGGAAAGTTCTACTCAAGCCTGGGATGAATCATGCTCATTTTGCTGGTGTGGATAGTACATGTGCAGTCCAGCCCACACAGGAGCTGTGTGGGGATGGCTCATGCTCAGTGCATCTGAAACCTTCAGGGAAATTAGCTGCTAAACTCTTAACACATCTCTGCTCAGCATCTGTAAACAGTTTTCAGAGACTTATAGTTTGGTCCAATTTGGGGATTTTTTTTCCCCACTGGGGTAGGAAAAGATTCATCCCTGACACCAGCATGACCACTTCCTTTGCCTATAAAAGCACCTTCATACTAAATCATTCTAGGTCAACTTTAATTAGAGCATATTTATTTTCATATAAACTTAGTGGGTTATTTACAAAATGCCAAGGAGGAAACAATGAGGCTACTCTAGCAGCATTCACATGGAGAAAACACGCATGTGCCCATTATGTTTAACTAGCCTATCAAAATGTGTTGAGTGAATTTTTCCTAAGCCTTGGTTCATGCTCCACCTGTCTGTTCTTTGACATCCATATGATGGTTTGAACTGATAACTTCCCATTTACTTCTTCCAGGTGGCTATCATCTTGTGAAAATAGGAGATCTATTCAATGGGCGATACCATGTGATCCGGAAACTAGGATGGGGGCACTTTTCCACGGTGTGGCTATCTTGGGACATTCAGTAAGGTTTTTGTTCTTTTGCTGGCATTTCTGCCAAGAATCCAGAGTAGATAATCTTTGCACAGATAAGACTAGCATACTTCTCTTATGATCTTACATGTGCTGTGCTTACAATGTCAGAAAAGATGATTGCGTTAGCATGTGCACCGGTATTAACATTTACATTGCACGTATGTATGTAGAAAGAATGCTTGTGTGTTCAGCTGTTTCTGTTCCAGCACTTCAGGCCAGTCAAAGTATAGTTTGCCTTAAATGTATAAGGCAAGGAAAACGAACTGGGTTTTGTAAGAGCCCTACAGACAGTTTTCACATGAGTGAATTGGAGCTTATCTTCCTGTGTTATTAAAGAAACAATCCATAATAACCGGGTCTTGCATGCGAGTGAATTTAAGAGAATTTAGGAGACCACTTATCACTAACTTGCTATGTCTGTGTTTAAGAGGGAAAAGGTTTGTGGCGATGAAAGTAGTGAAGAGTGCTGAGCACTACACAGAAACAGCACTGGATGAAATCAAACTGCTGAAATCGGTGAGTGCCTGCGGCAGAAAGCTCTGTTCAGCTTTGTCCATTTTCAGAGTTAATACCCCACTCAGTTTGGAAAATGGATCCTGTACTCAGGGATCATCTCTTGGTTCCACAGTACATGAGAGGGTTGTGTTACAGACAAATCTGGTGGGTCCTATTTTTGTTTGATCCATAAAGGGGTAAAAGTAAGCAAAGCTGACAGATTTATTTAAGGAACACAGTCCAGGTTTTAACCTCTTTTACGTGGTGCTACTTTATCTCCTCCATGGGACCTGGTCATAACCAATATTCATGGTAGTACCTGATGGTCATACAATAATTGAAACTCTGTGCCTCATAATCTCCACTTTGCACCTCCCAGAGCTGGTGTCTTTTCTTTTCATTTAAGTTTTATTGGTCAGATGATAAAATATTAATGTTATGTGCTGTTTAATGGATTGTAGGGAAGGTTGGAGGAGGGTATGCACCATTCTGGGATCCACCAGCACTGCTTAGCACAGCTCCTACTTTTCCCCTTTCCTGAGGGCCCCTGAGGAGAGGGGAAAACATGTTACGCACCCAGTGATGTTTAGCCCAGGAATTTTATGAAATGATTTATCTCGTGTTCCTTATCTTCCTCCACGCAGGTCCGCAACACTGACCCCAATGATCCAAATAGAGAGATGGTGGTTCAGTTATTAGATGACTTCAAGATCTCAGGAGTGAATGGCTCCCATATCCTTTTATAGAACAAATGACAGAGCACAGAATTGAATGAGTGTGGGAGTTTCCTGTGCAGCTCTCTTGCCAGTGGGAGGTGAACAATGTCCATGCAGCCGTTTTACTGTCCAAAGCAAATCTCCAATAAAACAGTCCTCTCCCAGTGGGCCTTATAGCTCCCGGCAGAGGATAGGCCTAGAATAATCCATCACCATGTATGGTGTGAAGGACAATGTTGCTGAGTCATGATTTGATATGCAAGACAGCATGACTGCGCTTGATTAGAGCTGAATGGCACAGCATCTTGGGGTTTTCTTCTTTCATCCTTGACCAGGCCACATGCCGCCTTTTATTAAAATCCCTGACTAAAAAATAAAGCATTGCACAATATCAGAGATTTATCTGCTGGTGCTGAGTGCAAACTATATAACTATTGCTTATAATTTAGCAGCATAGGTGAGCTTCTAACTAAGAGGGTCTGCTTTGGCAGCCTTACAGGCCTAATATAGTTTCTAAAGCGCAACCTTATGACCTGCTTGGGAACTGGGAACTCTTAATGTTGGATTGTCAAAGATCCTGTGTATGTTTGTATATCAAGAACAAAGGCAGACTCTCAAGTGTTCTTTGTGACATGAAGCACTTTACTGGGGTTCTCCATAAAATGTGTTCTAGACTTCTGGCCCCAGAACTTTCCTTTGTAGCCTACACCCCTCCTTTGCGGAATGAGTGACTCATTTACTTCACTGGGAGTCAGTAGTATATTGCAGAGGGAGAATCTGACCCTAGATGGTAAGCTTTCTAATGTTTATACCTAAAGGAAAACGCAGGACAGTGCTATGAATAAAGTCCAACTCTGCTGCTTAGCTGCAGTGGGAAAGGATATTCTCTAGAGAGCACAAAATCAGAGCTGCTCAGTCCATTGCTGCAAAGAAAGTGATGGAAACATTCCTGTTAATCTTTTCTTATGTAAAAAGAGTCTTAGCGTCTAATTTTGACTTGACGCAGCTCCTTCAATGTTGCTTTAAATTCAGGCAAGAAGAATGCATATACACACTACCTAGGAGATGAAGAAAAATATCATGAACTTTAAGAGCTAGGCTTTTGAACAGCAAATTCTTAATATTGAACCTGTCTCAGAAGTGGCCTTATCAGTTTACACCATTTTTACCTATGAAACACAAACAGTATTGAAGTTCGGGCCCGTGAAAGTAGCTTTAGAAAAAAAGCTGGGAGAGAAATAACGTGGCTTGATCTATGGATTGAGAATTCAGTTCTTTGGTCAGAGTTCATAAAGAGATCTGGGGTGAGAGCCAAGATCATTTGGGAATTTGTCTGCTCAGCTAGGCAGTGTGTTTAAATGCTAGCAGCAGTTCAGACATAGCCCATTGTACAGATGGCCTCTTCCCAGAATTTGGTATTACTGCTATACCACCATTGCTCCAAATGAGCTGCATTCTTAGTTATTAAGTTTTATGTTGCCACTAACAGTGCCGGTCATTGTTTTATCTCACATTTGCTGCTCCAAATACCTAGACAGCTACCTGTGCTGGGAAGGAAAGGAAGTTGGTAGGAGCTGCAACATCAGGTGGCAAAGGCAGTTCCTTGGGGTTAGATTTATTTTCAGCGCTGTCTAAGAATCCTGGGGGCTCCTTGGGTCAGGATGTCCCTCTTTCTCCTTGACCCTACTGCAGATATCTGTATGGTGTTTGAAGTTCTAGGGCATCATCTCCTGAAGTGGATCATCAAGTCAAATTACCAGGGCCTTCCACTCCCCTGTGTCAAAAGAATCATCCAACAGGCACGTTCCAGCTCTCACTGAATTAATACCCTGACCCCAGTGAGAACTGTTTTGTGACTATAATTGCTTTTCCATCAAATGCAGGGAATGAGACTTGAAGACAAATTCATAGTGGTACATGTTCTCATAAAATAACTAAAATAAGTGGTTTCAGTGGTCAGTACCTGCATTCTGTTTAGCTGAGGAGGTCTGCTTTGAACAGTGAGTGTGCGTAACATAAATTCCTGTATGCTAGCTATAACCATTTAAACTTAACAGCACAAAACTGGCTGGCTTGGCTTTTCACCCCCTCTTCCCCTCCAAATCTTGTTGCCCCTGGGGGGAAGGTAAGTCCCCTCCCCTTTTCCACAATGAGTAGTTCCCTTTATAGTTTTATAAGCTCACTCTTCACTGACTGCAGCACTTGTTTATGGGGGAGAAGGAGGACCATATACTTTTCCCCTTACCCTTGTAAATAACTAAGAGGGAAATGTTTCTGGGGGGTCAGATGGGAGGGAGAAGGCTTAGAGTATTAAAATTCAAGGGAATTAATCCTTAAGTACCTGTAGGTTGAGGAATAGAGGCGAAGATAGCATTTTATGATAATTGCCTAGTTAAAGTTGTATGCAAACTTCCTTTTAACTCCGTAGTAACCATACTCCAGGATAATAGCCCTGAGGTTTAACTTAAAAGAACTTCCTGTTTGTTTGTTACCTAGATAACTATAGAATTTTGATTATTTTCTCACCCTTTCACATCCGGGTTGCTCATTGTGTGCATCTCTTGAATATCTATTTTCTTCTCTCCTATGTGCAGGTTCTGCAGGGTCTGGATTACTTGCACACAAAGTGTCGGATCATCCATACAGATATTAAACCCGAGAACATTCTGCTGTGTGTAAATGAACAGTACATCCGCAGGCTGGCTGCGGAAGCAACAGAATGGCAGAGATCTGGGGCGCCCCCTCCTTCTGGCTCTGCAGGTGCCTTTTCTATGGAAAACTTGCAGAGTCCAAAGAGATTGTAATTGATCTGACAAGGGAAAATCCTGTAGTTCTTGTCTCAGCATTGTGAAGCAAAGGAACAGCATTGCAAATCATTTCTATAAAGCCAGTCATAAACTGCAGTACTAGTCATGTGTTCCCACAAGAAGCTTACCAGTGTAAAAACAGCGTACATGATCATTAACATCTGCTTTTAATGTTGGTCTGACATATATTAGGTGGTAAAATAGTCATTTGTAAAGCATTCTCAGTCTCCTACAGAAAGCACTATATAAATGTCAAGTGTTATTTTCTTAAGCGCTGTTTTGAGTGCATGTGGTAGGTCAGTGCTCGGATGTGTTCTATAAAAGCTTACCTCCTTGAGTGCTTTATAAAGTGGGAAATTCCTTTCCTTATACAATTCTGTGGATGTATTTTGGCAAACTCTCTTGATGAAATGACATGAGCACTACCCATTTACCATCTTGCAGGGCAGGCCTGAAGAAATTAAACCTATAGAAGTGGTTTCCCTGTTGTGTGAATGCAATATCTAGTTTATGGCAGAGGCCAGGCTTCATTCTTGTTTGAAGTCTCCACATACATTCTCAACACTCCTCCTTGGCATTTTGATATGTGCCAGTGCACAGTCCCCAGGAACTGTTGGTCTCTGGCAGTCTCTACGATATGCAAAGTGCAGCCTCTGACTGAGGCCAACACAGTACAGCGTGGGCTGGCTAGGTGAATATGCTCCCTCACAGTTTTGGTATTCTGACTGCCAAGGTCCCAGTTGACATCTTGGCTTAAGCAAGGTGCACAACGCATGAAGCAAATATCCTATCATGCTGTTACATACTTTACGTCCCCTTTTTCTGTCACCAGTTAAGTGAGTCTGCTGTCCAGTCTGGTTAATTGAAGCTTGACTCAGCTAACAGAAATGTTCTGCAGTATATTCTTTCTGGCAGGCTGCTGCTATCCCTCTTTTGAGAATTGAGGCTTTCAGAATTGGAGGATGCACTTGAGTTTTGTTACTAGTCCATATAGAAATAAGACACTGGTGTATTCCCTATATACATAGGGAGAGAAGGAAGCAATCACTGTTTGTTCTTTTCAGTACAGCTTTACATTTCAACAGTACCTGGTATCCACAGGGAAACAAAGTGGGCTCTATGGAAGATGTTCCTGGCTTCCAATCATTCCTTTTTATTTTTGCTCATGTGATATTTTTACTGCAGTGTGATTGCAATCTGTAATACAAGCATGCTAACTTATTTCTCTTTCTCTTCCAGTGAGTACTGCACCTCAGCCCAAACCAGTAAGTATGGTAACTAACTTTTTTCTTCCTTTATAAGCAAGTGTAAATGTGTGCTGTCTACATACATTCAGGTGTACAGCTTGTTTAGAATTGTTCTGTGCTTTTGTTCTATAATACGCTAAGTGGTAGGGAATCCTACTTTGAGACCCAAATATAAGCACTAGAAGTGTGAACAAGTTCAATGTATGGCTGTTTACTCAACACACTGAACGTTTAAATTCCTGTGTTACAGGTACAACTAGTCACAGAATGATGTCCAATAACAGTAGTTGTGCAGTACCAGCTTCCCAAGATAACTAGCATTTTCCAGAGTTCAGTGCTCTTAGAGCATCATCAATCATTAACTATGGTTAATGAGGCGCTGTGCTATTAAAGTGGCCCAAGTAGGGTGTAGCTTTTAAAAATCAAAGTGATCTTCAGTAATGTCAGCTATTTCGCAGATTTGAATCTGATCCATGTACCGTGACAAAGCTGTTGCTATCTAATGGGCATTTGGCCTGTGAGAGAGAGAGTGCATCATCAGAGTACACATCTCAAAAATGCCACCAGGCTTGACACCTGTCATGGCATTCCCAGTGGATGGTCCCAGGATTGCATGGGTTATGGAGACTGAACTCCTTTCCCTCCTATGAGGATGGATTTCTCAGATCAGGGCTGAAGCCCATTGGCTTGGCAGTAGATGAAGGCCTTCCCAGCTGTGGGATCTGTTCTGTGGGTGAGACAGGACTTTTCAGTCTCCAGGGTTGTCAGGTGAAGACTTCACACAAGCTCTGAAAGAATTCACTAAAAACTAAAACCTGACTGTAGCTTGGGGTTTTATTGGAATAAATACCAAGCCAGATGTGTGTGAGAGTTGTCTGCCATTTCCCTGCAGGCTGACAAAATGTCAAAGAATAAGAAAAAAAAATTGAAGAAAAAGCAGAAACGGCAGGCGGAACTACTGGAGAAGCGAATGCAGGAGATAGAGGAGATGGAGAAGGAGGCAAGCCCTGTACAAACACAGCCTGAAGAGCAGGAAGAAGCTCGGAACCCTCTTGAGATGCTCTTAAAAGAGAGCCCACCTGATGAAGGGGTACCAGGAAAGCTGGGTATGGATCCGGAATATCACATGGGCGTGTGTGTTTAAACAGAGCACAGTAACGTTCCTTCAACCACACTGTTAAAATTGCAGTGTACATCTCTGCAGCATGTGGTGATCAGGCCTCGAATGCTGGCCACTGCTCTGCAATTGAATTGCCACCGCATTCCACTAACACTGTATCCATGCTATGGATAGTAGTCTACATTGCAAGTGCTGTAGCGTAGACACTTACAATGACGGAAGGCATTTTTCTGTCTTCTAGTAAATCCACCCCCCACCCCATCCCAAGACTGTAACGAGATCAGTACAGGAATTCTTCCATTGACCTAGCTGTGTCAAAAATGGGGGTTAGGTCAACCTAACTGCGCCTCATGGCGCATGACATTTTGCACAGCCCTGAGCGATGTAGCTAGATTTACCTAAGGTTTTAGGTGCAGACCAGGCGGAGGCAATTCCACCATAACTACTGGCATGGCTGCACTGACATATAACTCCATAGCGTAGACACAGTCTATGCTGACAGAAGGGGTTTTTCCATCAGTGTACAAACACCACCTCCCCAAACAGCGTTCGCTATGCCGACCTGACCCATATTGTAGCTATGTCAGCCAAAGAACACTTCCGTTGACGTAGCGATGTCAGTCAGGAGTTAGGTTTTTTGTGTTTTTTTTTTTCACACCACTGACCGACGTGGCTATGTTCACCTAACTTAAGTGTAGACCAAGCCTGAGTCTGAGCAGGAACTAGGAAGTCTTGTGCTGGTAAAAGTGGATTAAAGAAGCATTGCATTCAGCTGTTCTGTGCGAATGTGCTAGTTTTTTGGGCTTACTTAAGGTCTTGCTATAGCTGTTACTCAGTCCATGTGTTATGTTTCCCTGTCCCTTAAGAGTCTTCTGATTCTTTTTCTTTTCCCTTTCCTTAGATGAAGTTGCCCATGTACAAGAGCAAACTATCCTAATGGAAGGCAGCATGGAAAAATGCATACCAGAAATCAACTGCAATGGCGTGGTACAAATGACTGCCTTCTCAGACTCCAGCAACCAAGGGTCTGGGAGGCTTGAGGAGGACCTTCATAATGCCAATGACTGTGATGAGCACCCTCTGGCACAGGAAGAGGACGGCTTCCATAGCTGTAATTACAGCCAGCGTAACGGAGACTCAGAGAACAGGTCGCGAGAAGTAATGTCGGACTCATGCGTGCCCTTAATTTCTGAGGTGCTAGATTCCATGGTATATCAGCCAACTTCAAGTGAAGAGCAATCGTTCAGTGAGCAGGAGATCAGCCAGTTGCAAGAGAGTATACGTGCAGAGATACCCTCAGAGGATGAGAATGAGAATAATGACCCATCTGAGAACAAAGGTACCAGAGGACCCTTGTGCAAGAGAGAAACCCTCCCTTTTAGGAGAGCTGTCCTTTGGAGTCTGTAATGTGGCATTAATAGGGGGCTTTATATTGGCTGACCTGACTTTACCTGAGGACATCTCTTTGAGCCCTGTCCTGACAGCACTCTCCACTCTGATCTACCTTTGGGGATTCCACTGTTGCAACCTTGGGTTGACAAGCAGTTATGCCTTTTGATATGATGGATTCCAGAGTGTGTAAACTGCTACCCTGCACACTCATCGGATTCATTCTGTCCTTCCCTGCTTTAAAAAGCATCCAGTGACTTTTTTTCCAAGTATGTTTGTTTATCATAGTCATGCCTTAAATGGGAACATTCCCTCTGCTCCCTCACTCTCGTTCAGATATCTTTCTTGTTTTTAAATATCTGTACATAAAACCATATTGTACATAAAGAATTGAGTAAGCGTGCAGGGTTACAGTTTACACACTCTGGAATCCGTGACAGCAAAGGCACCACTGCCTGTTCAACCCAAAGTTGCATCAGATACCTGAACTGGAGTGAGAGAAGGGGACTGACAGAATATAGGGTATGTAGAAAAGCTTGTATTGACATCTCAGATTTTGCCATGACAGGGCCCAAAATTAACTTTCCTTGCAAAGAATAGCTTGGCGTTGTTTTTCTAGCATAAGGTCCTTAAGTAATATTCCCTTCCAGAACGATAAATGCATTTCAACAAAAGTGCAAGTGGGGAGGGATAGTTTTGCTAAACTTGTAAGGAGGAAAGACTTTGTCTGTTATAGGGCTATAACAACAGAGATAACATACTATAAAACTAGTTTGTTGGCAGATTCTATATAATGGAGAAACAAAATTCTTTAGAGACATACCCAAAGGTTTTGTGGGCTAAAACCCACTTCATCAGATGCATCTGATGAAGTGGGTTTTAGCCCACGAAAGCTTATGCCCAGATAAATTTTAGTCTCTAAGGTGCCACAAGTACTCCTCGTTCTTTTTGCTGATAAAGACTAACAGTTACCGCTCTGAAACCTATACCCAAAGGTGTGACTTGGTATAATTTAAATCACATAGGTCCCTCAATTAAACCATTGCTCCTTTGAGTCAGGGTCAAGTCAAAAATCTCAGCCCAAAATAGGAAACTGAGAACAATCCTTGTACTTCTCTACTAAATTATCTTGTAGCATTACCCCACTAAAATGCTACCAGGGAAATGTAAGTGAATGTAAGAGCTAAAAAATAAATTTAACAAAGTTTCAGAACTCAGCCTGTACTCAGTCTATTGATGCCTCTCTGGATTACTAGACATGCATCATTTCTCAGAACTGCCTTTCCCAGTGCATTTAGGAATCCTTACTAGATGTAGTTTAATGACTTTTTTTTTCTCATTTTATTTCTCCAGTATATCCATCTTGGCTTGTTCTAGCCGTACACTTTAAATTTTGCAGCCGTTGGCATTGCTGCTATGGGAAGCGGTGCTGCCATCCTTGGAGTGTAACCCTTGTAACTTTAAAGAAGGCTTCCTTAGGTTGAGGCTCTTTTAGATACTATCAGAACCTACCAGTGCTGCAGGAAGCATTCTAAATTCTGCTGGTGTCAGCATTGTCAAAGAGCCAGTCTTAATGAAAAACTGTTTTTAAAAAAAAAAAGCCAAGCTAGCAGAGCTCAGAGAAACAGCCATCTTCCTGCACTTGCACATGCTCGGTTACGCTAGTATTTCAGTGTCTTTATTGTGCAATACAGGGGGAGGAGCTTTTGCACATGTGTATACTGGGCAGAATATATTAATTAGATCAATTTACTATCTTAATGCCCTTCTGGGGGTGCCTGTGGTGTTAACAGGTGTTGACTAGAGTTGATGGCTAGTAGCTAGACTGGGGGATAGTTCTGATCATTGACCTGTATCCTTCCTGCGTAGAATGATGCCTGTGGGGTTTGGGTGGCAGATGGTGGCCCTGTCCATGTGGATTTAATCAGCTGTTGTGCATATTGCATTTAGGAAAATCCACTGCTGGGAATTTTCTCCTTAATCCCCTTGAGCCCAGGAATGCAGATAAGCTCAAAGTGAAGATAGCTGACCTAGGAAATGCCTGCTGGGTGGTAAGTGTAAACCTTTCAGTGTTGAGTGACCAAAGCTCCTAATCTGTTTCCAGTTGACTGGGGGTGGGGGGCTGAAGAAGACAATCTCTATTATTTCCTTAAAAATAAAAGGTGAAACATGTCTACAGCTCACCTGCAATGTCATGAGGGATAACTTAATCCTTGTATTAAGTTTTTAGACAGTCCTCCTGATGTTCCTCTACTGTGCCTTGTTGCAGCTAGTTTTGCAGCCTGTCAAATCGTACACTCCCTGAGGGAACCATTTCATTTGTGATTCCTGAGCATGTAAGAGAAACTGTAAATAGCTTTGGCTTTTAAAGGCGGTACTGTAGGGCTTCTAAATCTGTTTGAAATCTCAAGCAGGAAAGAACATCTATTTAAATTATTTTTAATAGCAAAACAGTTTGGAACTGTCTTTACTCCCTTGAAAAGTCCTAAGTTCAGGATCCTCTGTTTTGAATTGCAACTGCGGATGAGGCAATATGCTAGAAGAGCTTTGCTGCTCTGCTTTAGGTAGGTGCTGCCACACACCCTCTAGTAAGGGAGAAGGTTGGACTTCTGAAGTAACTAACAACTGCTTCTCAGTAGTGATTAAAATAGAAATGTGTCTGTCTGGGTATATTAATGTAGGTTATTAGCTTTGTTTACAAAAGCTTTGTCATTCACCTTAACTTCGCATTATCATGATTTAGTGTCAGCTTGAATCCTCGATCCACTAGCATCAGCACACAAACTGATAGCTGTGCAATACATCCCATTTTTAAACATGGTTCCTAATGTTTAGGCTGCACGTCTTCATGTCTGACAGAAGCTGTCGGTGTCTGAGAGACGTAAAATAGGTTACCTGTCACAAGTCACTTGGTAACATTATCACACTGTTGTAGTTCAACTTTAAAACTGGCATTCTCCCCCACTGCTGCTACTGTTTGCCGTCATCTGAATTGTCAGGCTATTTTGTCTAAGGAAAAGTGCCTCTGGTTAGGGCATTTTAATCATTTGTTGAAATTTAAGAAACTGTTTAATTGAGATGTAAAAACCAGTCTGTCATGTTTCATCTGCAAGATATCTCTGTAAATAGCACCCTCTCTGGTCTTAGTTGAAGGAATCTCTTCCTTTAGAGATTTCAACCAGTTAATAAAGCACCCTTTTATTTATTTATTTATTTATTTAGCACAAGCACTTCACTGAGGACATTCAGACAAGGCAGTACCGGTCTCTGGAGGTGCTGATAGGATCTGGGTATAACACCCCTGCTGATATTTGGAGCACAGCCTGTATGGTGAGTTTGGTCATGCAGGGTGGACCCTCAACATTCAGTGGCTGAAGAGAATTCTTGGAAATTCCAGCATGCTGTGTACTTTGTGGACCACAGAATCATTTTTGCTGACTCCAGCAAAAATAGCCAGGGCTTAAAGCAAAGCATCCAGCCAGTTTCTAGGGTTGGTAAATCCCATGTGCCCATACCTCAGGCAAACTTTCTTAAACCACCTCGGAGTGGTGCAGCTTATGCAACTCTGCTTCTGTTTATGTTGTGCACAGCATAGTTGTTGCCCTCTGGAAGCCAGCATCCTGTAGCTGTGATAGACAAAGGCGTGTTGCATATACTGCCTCTAATTTGTGATTATGCTGCATGACATACAAATATATATGCATAATTCTGGAAGACAACCTAGCGTTTTCTCTCCCCACACTAGCTTTACAGCTGCCTTTCTCAGCCTCCAAGTTTCTCTAATGCATCTGACTTTAACAATCAATATTTTATATATTTGAGACTCTCAGACATCCCAAGTCTTGTTATGAATTGTCTCACATTCTGTGAGCAAGGTTGAGGTGACAAAAAGTCTGTTCTTATGATGACTGGCGAATGTTGAATATAGCACTTGTCTTTTTAAAAAAAAAAAAAAATACACTTTGGTGAGATCTAGCTACTGACTACAAATGTCTCCTTGATCTTTTTCGCTTCCTTCGGTATTTTATTTTTATTCAGAGCTTGGTTTTGATTGGTAAGCTTAGCAAATACAATTTCATGAGCTCATCCCTGCTTCTCGAAAGGAAGCTGTGCTTCTGATGAATGAGGCAGAACAGAATGCAATGTGTTTGTTCCCTGTACGGTACTTGTGGTCAATAAAACAACACAGATGTGACTCAGAGTTCCTAACTTGATAGTCTCTAGCTATAATGGCACTTTAAAGAATATTTTTTTCTTCTCTTCCTCATCGGTATCTACTTTTTTATTTGCCTATCTTACATTGACCAGGCACTATGTGATTTTGGTTGGTATCTGATTTCATTCCTCATGGGGGTACTGATGTGACATCTCTAGCGAGAACTCCCCTGTTGTATTTTCAACATGCTATTTAAAACTAAAGGTTTATAGCCAGGTCCCCATGTTCTGTGCAGCACATTAGACCTAAATGTGGCAGGAACCTCAGAATTTGCAGAAGTACCCTTCTAAATTTTCCCTATACAGCCCACAACCTGAGCCAGTTCAGTATGGTGTCTCGTTTGTTTTGATTTCTATTTTACACTGCCTTCAGATTTCAGACTTTCAGTGTATTGTAAATTCTTGTACTGAGGCATAATACATGAGACACACACAGTTGAAGAGAAGCTGGAGACTGAGACAGTTTGCTAAGGGGACTTTAGGGTCTTTGCAATTGAGAGAACATCTGAAGCAGTTTGAGGTTGTGGGATGAGCTCACTATATGTGGATGCCCCTTTTAAAGCAGTTGTTGGTGATGTGTTAAATTATCATATTCCAGATTTAACACCCAATTTTAGTTCAGTAAGCCTATTGTTTCAGGCTTTCTGCCAGCTCAGGAAGAAAATGGTCAGTTTACACTGTTTGCTTTTGGGCATCTTTACAGCCATCAGAACTACAAGCTTATTTTATTTGTAAATAAAAGCTAAGATGGCAGAGCACAGTCTGTGGCAAGAGAGGATTCTGCAGCATGTTCCATAATCAGAGTATAGAGGGCCCTTAGTACAGTTATCTAAAGACCCTAAATAAGCTCTTAAGATATGAACACTGTAGAAAATGCAGCTTCATTCTGAATCAGCAAAAATCTGCAGCACATCGAAAATCTAAAGTTTGGAGGCAGCGTAAAACAAATATAATTTGTGATCAGGACAGCCAAGAAACACTGTCGTGCCCTGGCTCAGGTTGTGGGCTGCATAGGGAAGATTTAAAAGTTATAGTGCTGCATAATTCTGTGTCTTCAAATCTAGAAGTAGAGAATTGGAGAAAATGTGCTTGGAAGGTGGTTGAAAAGATCCTTGAACTTAGGGGAAAATGGCCTTTTTGGAGGAAGCATCGTGAAAACCGCTTTTGAACTCAAGTATCCTACGTGCTTTTGATAGCTAACTACCAAAGCAAAGTCTAATCTGGGAGTCAAGCTGGTGAATTCTTGGTTATGTACAGTATTTTAATAGTTGAACTTCATCTTATTGACACTTCATTTTGCCATGATCCAGATTTGCTTAGTGAGATGATCTTATGAGATGCACTAATGGATCTGTCGTAATGTCTGGCAATGTGCAGTGCCTTCATCACAAAAGTTCAGAATAGATCTTAATGTCTTTCTAGGTTTTACAAGGAATTATTTCCCTCTCGCATCCAAATTGCCACACCTACTCTCCAGTACTCATACGTATGTCTAACAGTGACAACTTGAAAATGATTCAACACATTAATTTTTCTTGTTTAGGCCTTTGAACTAGCCACAGGAGACTACCTGTTTGAGCCCCACTCTGGAGAAGACTATTCCCGGGATGAAGGTGAGTGTCTCTCTAGGTGTCTATCCTTTTAAAACGGAATACCAGCGACGGGGTTGTTGGGTCTCCCCTGGATGGAGAGAGCTTTCTGTTATGAGTCACTGAAGCGAGGCTCCTTGCTTGGGTACATGTCTACTTGCTTGAGTAAAGAAGCCCCTGCTTAATCGTACTGGAGGGGAACTTGAGGCTTTAATTTCAGGCACTAAACAGTAAAGGTTTAGTTTCTGTTACTTGATACCTAACAAACACTTCCTTGTCTTTACTGCTGCCTCTTTCACATCTGTTTTAAGATGGGTACCTTCCTGCTCAAAGTGAATATGATCTAAGCAGCTTTAATCATTTTCCTCTGTTCCTGATCTGCACCTTGTCTGTTGTAGAATATATACATAATCTCTGATTTAAGATTCTGTATTCCAAATGTGCTTAATTAAGCTATTGACCCTCTGAGTCAGCATTAGACATGGATTAAAGACCTAGTAGTTCCTCCACAAACACACATGACACTGCACTATTTATAATATAAATACCTCTTGATTAGCGCTTTTCATCTGTGGATCTCCATGTGTAAATCCCTTTATCCTCTCTGATGGGGAAACTGAGACACAGAGGGAAAGTGACTTTCCCAATGGCGCACAGCAGGCCGGGGTAGAGCAGGGAGTAGAACACAAGTTGTCTGAGTGCTCTTGCCACTGGACCAAGTTGTCTCAAAGAAAGGTAAATAAAGTGACCATCTCTAAATGTTAGAAACGTGCTATAGCAACAAGTGAAAATTTTACATATAAATATGCAGTGTAATGGGAACTTTGGCTAATAGCTAATCAGAGTGTAGCCTTTCCTAGTGTTACCTTAACTTTCTCTTGCCCATTTTCGAATATACAGGTAATGGATTTGCTGCTGAGCTATAACTTGTGTCCATTTCAGAGCTCTGAATTTCGAGCAGACAGTATAAGACTTTGTTCAGAAGAAATACAATTTATTAAAAAATGGAGCTTTGTCTAGTAAGATGCTCAGCACCACACCTGTACCATTAATCATGGATAGTTTCATTGACAGCCATTGGCTTTGTTTCACACTTTAAATAGACAGACCTTCCATGAGCAGTGGAATTAGCTAATATTTCATTCCATTTCCCAGTAGCTTAAACATAAAAAACATTTCTTGTGCCTCTACCACTTGGTTCCGACTCTCTGTAGCCATTTGCTCTGTACTGCATACACTGAAGAAATAACTCACGTTGTTGTGTAACTTGGTCACTTTTTCTCTCAATGGACTTGTCAAGAATTCATGGTGCAGCTGCTATTTCTGTCACTTTAGTACCTATCAGTAAGACTCCCTAGGAGTAGTAATTTCTTAAAATCCATGTTTAGTTTAACAAGTAAACTTCATTTCACATTCTTGTAGCAAGTTGGATTTGTTTTTCTGCATTTCTTGGGTTGGTCCGAGTGTCTCTGAATTGGTCCAGTTGCACCAGTAAATTCCCTTGACACTTCTAATGGGTGCAGTCTGTATGTGGAAAAGCACCATCACATCACACAGCTGGTGTGTGTAATATATATAAATCCCCCTGATCTATGAGTCTCCGAGTAGTCTTAGTAGGCATTGGAAAAATGCCAAATCTGCTTCATTGACAGAACCTCTTCCAAACATTCCAGAGCACAGTTTTCCAGGGAGGAAAGTTTACTTGGATCAAGTTGAGAAATTTCATGCAAGCCTCTTCTCATGAAATTTCGAGCCCAGTTCAGTAGTTAGGGGTTCTGATAAGTGCTCCAAAGATCACAAGCTTTTTATCTGGACTGCAGATTTTTTTGGTTATCCCATAACTGCAGTTTATAAAGTGAGCAATTTATATCTGCTCCTTACTTTTTCTCTTTTTTCACCCTGAATAGAGTCTTGTTTAAAAGTCACCTGCAAAGGGAAACATGTTGCTCTTTTATTCTTTATCATGTATAAAGGCCTCAAAGGTATTTAGAAATATTCTGCTTGTTTTACATTATAAATATCAGGTCTTGTCTACCCTGGTTAGTTGGTTAGGGTTTTTCATTTGCTGCAGGACTTTTCAGGCAGATAGAAAGCTAGCGAGATTACATTAGTTGTATTAACAGTAGAGTGTAGAGGCTCCAAAAAAGGTCCAGCTTCTTTGTGCTACCACGTAATATACGTAGCATGCATGGTGAGAGTCCCTGAAGCACTTACAACTTCAATAGACAAGGATGGAAGAGGAAGCGAATAGATGTGAAGTGACTTGCCTGTGGCACATGATTGTCTTGTCTCCTGTGGGCCGTAATACTTTGGTCTAAATTACATTGTTGGGTTTAGTGTGTGGGTGTAGGTAGCCTGTGATGTACAGGAGGCCAGACTAGATCTCTTCTGGCCTTAAACTCTGACATTAGCAAAGCAGTTCAGTGACAGAACTGAGAGCAAACCTAATTCTCAGTCTCAGCCTAGTGCCTTATCCTAGCCCACACTGCTGTCCATCACAGGACTGAAATCAGAGTAGTGTGAACTGAAAGTGTTTTAGTTTCTGTTTAAAATTGGTTTTAACTCAAATTTCAAACACTTTGAGGAAAAGCTCTCAACCTTTCAGGCACCCATGTCTCTTCAGCTGAGGGGTGAGTGCCTCCAGTGTAATTCTTTGGACTCCGAGGAATCCTCCAGCATAGCTGAGAGACCAAACTTGATAGTCCTGATATTTCTAAGTGTAAAACTCTTGCCCTTTATACATCATAAAGTTAAAATTCCTTCCCCTTCAGCAGATCACCTCTAAACAGCTCCTCTGTCCCACAAGATTGTTGTTGAAATAAGCCTTTTACAGCCACTTGTCCTTTCTCCCATCTTTCTGTCCCTTTTATTTTATTCTTCTTCCCCTTCTGTTTTAGACCACATTGCGCATATTGTAGAGCTGCTAGGCAGAATTCCAAGGCACTTTGCCCTATGTGGGAAATATTCACAGGAGCTCTTCGATCACAGAGGTAGTATTTTCCCCCCACCCTTTCCTCCTCCAGGCACCAGGGATGCAGACAATCAGGAGACGGAGCATCCACACCAGTTTTTTGTTCCACACCAGCCCACCTATCAATGGAGAATAGGGTTCCCCAGGTCCCTGAGTTCCTAGAGTGTTGGGAACTACAATCCAAGGATTCTCCTAGTGGAGGAATCGAACTCTGGACTTCATCGGTTCCCTCCCAGTTAGTGAAGAAAACAAGAATGACAAGTTTTCCAAATGGAGGTGTGCATGCTGCTCTCTGTCGGTGTCCAGAGCTGTTGCTCTGTATGGAGTGCCTTGTATTGATATCTGTTATGTATGTCTCTCTTCTTTCTGAAATGTTTTGGAACACGCAGATCACATTGCATTGATCATAGAACTTCTGGGGAAAATACCTCGCAAGCTCATTGTGGCAGGAAAATATTCCAAGGAGTTTTTCACCAAAAAAGGTAAAAGGAAACAGCAAGTTTTTTCTAGGAGTGCCCTAATGCCTGTTGCTGGAACTACCAGGTAACTATAGATCACAGCAAAGCCATAATCTTAAATCTTCTGGCTGCTGCACCAAAGATTCCCACAGGACCAAAGTGCTGCTCTGTATGTGTGTTCTTATCTGGCTACTGAGTGCATACCAATGCTCCTCATCTCAGCCATAAGCAGGTTGGAGAGCACTGCTGTGGTCAGCTTTGTGGGCTGATTTGGCATTATACAGTCAGTTTATATCAACTAATGGCTTTAACATGCTTTTGAGTTTCTTTGTCTAGACAGCTTTGCTCAGCTTCTGGCCTACTAATCTAATTCTACCAGAGCAGCAGTACCCTGTGGTCATGAATATTGAGAGGTACTGTTTCAAACCCCAAAGATTGTTCCTCCATGGATTTCTGAAATGATACAACACTATTTGAGGAAGCAATACTCTGCTGAGCAATAGGAAACTGGCAGAATTGTATTAGCCAGGCCGAGAATCTCTTAACGAGGGTAATACTTTTCTGGCATGTTGAGGGCTTTTTAAAGCTATCTACTGGTTAAAATGCATCAGTCTTTTCTCCTTTGGGCAGAGCGTGAGGACTGAAGTGTTTTGTGTTCTGTGCTGTCAGGCAGCCTTCCTGTTTAGCAGTCTGAACAGGAAACGCCTGTCTGCTATATGCAGAACCTCTCCTCTCAGATGGGTTCTGAGTGTCTGCAAGTCAGTACAAGTAGTGAATGGCCTTGTGTTAGTGTGTGTATTTTTCAGTTATAGTGACTAATCAGGTTGTATGGAAACTGTGGGGCAGAAGTAGGAGGAGGGAGATGGGACCGTCTTGCAAGTACCTCTTCTAAAACTGGCTGACCTCCAAGGGTAGCTTTATAAAGAGGGAAACTTGGGTTGTTAAAATTCAATCCTTTACGCCCCTACACAACATTTACCAAAGAAATACTGGAGTCCCGATACCTACCTGGAGTAACTTGGTAAGCCGCTCTGGTACCATTGGTGACGTACTGTTGATGTGTCTGTTTTTGTTTTCAGGGGATCTGAAACACATCACCAAACTGAAGCCCTGGGGCCTTTTTGAAGTTCTGGTGGAGAAATACGAGTGGTCCCAAGACGAGGCAGCTGCATTCACAGACTTCTTATTACCTATGTTGGAGCTGATTCCAGAGAAACGGGCTACAGCAGCTGAGTGTCTCAGGCACCCCTGGCTTAACTCCTAGGTCTTCAACCCAACATCACAGCCCTACACTCTGGTTTACAGCATAGCATACGAACACTCAGCTGTTCCAACTGCCCCTCCCCAGATCCATTTTTTTCCTCTTGTTCCTTTTCAGTGTGAAGCTCTTCCTTCAAGGCTTCCGAGATTTTTAGATAAATTTAACCTGTTCAGTTGAGTTTGCTTATTTGATTAAGCGGAGACTCTTCTCAGCCAGTGGGCATCCTGTGAAATTGGCCTTGATTGGGCTTTGCCAAAGATTAATTGACTGACTGGAATACAAAGTTGCCCCTGAGTCTCTTATCTGTTAGTGTAGGCGTGAGCTGATCTGCATTAGTGTGTGCTCCCTTAACTAAATTACACCCATGAAAGGGATATGAAGATCTGGGAATCCATCCTTAGCTCACTGACTCCTGGGAGTCAATTTTCCACTGCACGTCCAGTAGCTAGCAGGAGGATGAGAAATGGCAGATTGGTACCTGGGTGATAACTCCATGTGGAACAGAACTTGAAATCCTCCACCCATCCCTAGGTCTCGTGTTTCTTGGATGACTTCTCACGTTCTTTCCAGTCAAATAATTTCTTTAGTTTTAGCCACTGAATCCTATGAAAAGCTGTATTTAAAAAGTATTTTTAATACCATTATTTTTCCCCAGTGTTCAGATTAGTTTCTGAATTCAGTGAAACCTGCTACGCTCCCTCAAATGCCTGAACCCTGGGACTAAAACGTGACATGGAAAATAAAAAAGCAAAGCTGGAACTGGTTAAATGTACAATCTTCAGAATAGATGTGTACATGCTTTGCTGGCAGAGTGGTAGTTGGGCTGCAGGCAACTCTTCCTAGACATTTGAGTGAGCTGTACAATTTCCCCCCCCCCCCATACTGGCACTTCCTTTGCCTTGCCTGAAGTTGTCATTGCATCAGTAAGCAGTTGGTATTCAGTCTGGAAGATGGGATGTACTTTCTCTTATTTTGATCATTCTGTTGCGAAGAGGGGCCGGTGGTATCTGTGTGTCACAGCCACGCTGTTCCCTGACCTCAAAATACCACATTTCCAAAGCTTAATGTAAAGATTTCTACTGTTAGCTTGCCTTAGGTGCTGGCCTTTAGAAGTAACTTCCCCAAATGGGATTGCCTTTTATTTTCTGAGACGATTGAGTACTTGGGGATTAACACAAGGACAGGTGAACTACATGGTTTGTCTTTTTCCTGTAGACATAGGGTCAGCTTCTGTTTCCTAGAATCACCCCAAATATGGTTGTCCCAGGAGAATATTATGTAAGGTTTTTAAACTTCTCAGAGAGGGCTGGGTGTAATGGAGGTTTGTGGGGGCAGTTATTTTAATTCAAAGTTAAAGCATTGTAGTGTTTGCTAGTTTTACGATGCATCTCTCCTAGGCTTTCCTAAGTGATTACAGATTCATTGCATCCTACTCTAAAGCAAGGTTTTGGCAGGGTAGGGACTTGAACCTCACCATGGACCAAACAGGCCTTTGGGATCAAGAAATTCTCAGAGGACAGAAGCTGCCTCAGGACTCTGGAACTCCCAGAAGGCCAAGAAGGCACTATTTGAGACAGTAACACCAAAGCTGCCAGTGAGGCTGTTACATGTCTCTCGTGTGTGTGTGTGTGTGTGTGTGTTTGAAATCTCAGTTTATAACAACCTTCCATCCACAAAAGCTGGTGTCCTTATTTAATCCACTTTAAAAGTATAACCATCTTGCCCTATATTTTCTTGCTTGTCCAGTCTAACACCGACTGGGCCATTGATGAAATCCATGCTGCATGTCCATTTAGGGGTTCTTAAATCAGGTTCTCTATGCATAATCTAAGATTAAAGGAAATAAATATACCAAAACAGTTTAAAACTGCTGAATGATTTTCCTGGAATCTGGAATTCCTTCCCCCCAGCTCCAAGAGTCACTTCTTTTTCTGTTGCAAAGGGATTACAGACAGGACTGGACTGTGTATTACTTACCTTCTGTTTTAATACTGTGAAGACTTTTTGGCAGGGTGAATGGAACTTCTGGTGGCATCACTAGAGCTCACTCCGCCCTGTGCACTTCTGCAGCCTGGCTGACCTAAAGGAATGAGATACTCATAGAGGGGTCTGCACATTGGGTTCTGAGGTATCCGTTCCCCCATCACCGCCAGAAGAGGACTTTTTCCTCTATCTCAGTAAAAGAGCCAGCTTGTGGGTTGAAGACACGTAGAGGCAGCTGTCAGGATTCAGTCTTGTCCCTTGTGCTCGCTCACTTGGGGTTCACTAAACTTCCAAATTGCCATAAAGTGCTCACTAAAGGATTTGTACTTGCTGTGTTCGTCTAAAACCTGAAGGAAAATACATTTTTATTCTTTCTACTTGAGTGCATTGTCTTTTCTTTGTAAATGCCGTACAATAAAACAGATTATTTAATAACCCACATCTATTCTATTCCTGATATGTTCCCTCGGTAACTTGTTCATTCAGAGCCATTGTCTGTCCATTAATTTTTGTATTCTGCTAGAGTAGGGAGCCCAGGGTTAACACGTTTAGTCTTGAGACCCCATTCACATGCAGTGTTGTGTGATCTAGGTAGATAAAACCACAAAATTAGTAGCAAAATCTTTATTTTGCTAGCTTTTGAAATAGAAAACATGAAGACATTGCTATAATAGTTGTCTCCTTTTAAATAGCCATGTGCCAAACTTTGCCACAGTTTTCCATTTAATAGTCCCTTTATCAGTCCCTAATAGGGAGTCTTGACTGAGGCATCTAGAGATTTCCTTACCGTAAAACAGGTTCTCAAACTTCATTGCACCATGACCCCCTTTTTGACAATAAAAATTACTACACGACCCCAGGAGGGGGGACCAAAGCCCGGGCTAGGGTGGCCAAAATCTGGGCCCCGCCGCCAGGGGTGGGTGTATCCTAAAGCCCAAGGGCTTCAGCCCTTGGAGGGGGGCCTGTAACTTGAGCTTTGGTCCTGTGCCCCAGCATATCTAAAATGGGGTTGTGACCCACTGAGAACCCCTGCTGTAAAAGAAGCATGAAATTGGAAGATCAGGGTGCAGCCTTGCTGGAACTGACCTGATTTCTAGCAGCCATAAGGAAACACACCTTAAGTTCTACTTTGCTATGTAAATTTTGGATTTAGAGCTGGCAGTGTTGGCTTTTAAGAGTCCCAAATCAGAAGAGATCACACTCCCGTGCCATCTGTAGAATGTGAATATGCAGAAGACTGCTGTGGGTGGGTGTTCACGGTGTGACATGAACTGGTAACTAAATCAGGTTATGCAGGTGGTTCCAACAATGCAGTAATAGTGTGAATCGAACTGATTTTGAGTGACACCATCTGCTCTAGTGATTATGATCTGAACTGCCTGCTATGTCATGCTGGAGCCCAGCAGATTTGTGCCAGAAAGGAGGCTTCTTCATGCTTTGCCTTTAATGTTGCTCAGTATGGTGAGAGAGGGGTTGTGAAGCCAGTTGAGTCCTAAGGCTGACTTTTCACTGCACATGAATCCAGTTTCTTGCTGAATTATTTTACCAACTGGACTGTGGCTTGGTCACTCTCTCCTCTTATGGGTAATTTCAAGGGGCAGCTTTATAGAAAAGCCCGTTGAGCTTTGTTGGCATTTGGGTGTTAAATGGTTTCTCTTGTAGAACAATACTCAAGATCACAGGAGAAGAAGCCAGGTAAGTAAGTTTTCCAAAGACACTAGCACAAAATCAAAACACTGCAACTTTGCCTTTTATTCAGCAAATTTTTCTTGCAACAAGCCAGTACAAAAGGTGACTGTAAGTAGCTAAAGCACATACTGGCTCCTCTTCTCTCCCCCCCCCCCCCCCCCCCCCCCCCCCCCCTTCCCACTCTATAACAGATTGAGTCCCTCCATCCAAATAAACTCCATGAGGGGGTCGAGTCTCCAGCAGCCCCTTGCATGGAATCTTTTCAAGAAAGTTTGTAGGGAGAATAGAGTTCCTTCAAAATGTGTAAGAAAAGCATCAAGTTTCTGGTCGTTACCTGGAGGGGCCCTAGATGTCTCTGGAAAGAAGGAAAAGATTAGAATGTGACAAAACTAATTTAAAATAGATCAATAGGGTTTTTTTAATCCCATTCTGTGCAGTAAATTATTGCTCCTTTAGTGCCATTAGATAAAAGCAAAGATTATATAACTAAAAGCAATGGGAATACAGGGTACTGAAATCCAAACATTAGCAGTGATCTTTCAGGAATCCCCCCAAATATACTTAGATTATATACTTGGAACAAGTTTAGAAGTAATTTCAAATAGGATTACTTACTGTGGTGTTCAGCTTCTTCATTCATGGCCCTCCTCTGTAAAACAAAGAACTGTGTTTATACTAGGGTGAGTGGACGTGTAACAGAGGGAAAGAACAGGAGCAACTGTCTTCAAAAGTTGCATCAGTTTCATGTGTTAAGGGAAAAGGTGACCTCATTGAGGTGGCAGATGAGTGAGAAGGCAGTGTCTCATGCCCTGCTGCATGCTGATCGTGGATCAGCCTCATGCAGTGTCTACTTAAATGAACGCAGGGAGACTGCCTCAGTAATAGGTGTGGAAATGGACTAGCCCCTGCCTGAGGTTTGCTTTAACATTTGTATAATTAATACACAATGTCCATGTGCTTCAGAAACCAAATGCTGTTTGCAGGATGGATAGTGCTGGATACTAATCCATTACCAAGTGCTTTTAACACACGCCACCTGGTGCGTGCAATGGGATAGCAATTTCACCACTACTGAGATGAAATACAAGTCTTAGGATCCTTGTAACCAATTTCTTCCCTGGATAAAATGAACTGACTTTCTCTGCCATCCCTGGTCTCTAGTCTCTTTGGTGGTGTAGATTGTCATGTCTGGGTAACATCTGCCCTGGGTAGCTCCCTGGGTAATGTCTGCCTTCTCCTGCCTGATTGACCTGGAGGCTGTTAATGGTGGGAAAGTACTAATTTCTAGAAAGCAATTAGCCAGGTAGCCACAATGAGTGGGCAGAAGCCTGACCAGGCCTGTACTGCAGGAACCTACCTGATCTCCTTGTTCTCGAATATCCCTCCCCCCTTTATTTCCCATCCCTAGCACTGTCCAGGTCACTATAATTCACACCTATCATGGTATCTGGGCCCAATGGGCATGGCTGCAGGCTTTATAGGTGGCAGTGGGTTTTGATGTACCCTCTAACAGGTGAGTGGGGGTTACAGGAAGAGAGAACAAAGTGGGGCCATTACCTTTATTTTCTACTTTGAAATCGTCTGGGAGGAGATTATCTTGCCGGTTCCCTAGAACAAAGGCCAGGAAGGAGAGGATGAGGGCATCCAGGATCCCAATGATGCAGAGGATGAAGGCCCAGCGCACGGTGCATGCCCCTAGTGTGTATTTGTCAGTTTTGTCCCCGCACATGCGCTTCACTTCATTGGAATCCCAACCATCCGGGTAGATCAGGCAACCTATCATTAGGCCGGCTGCTGCAGGGAGAAAAAAACACTGATGTGGGCACAGGTTGCACGGTGGTAGTGCACTTGACTGGAGCTGGGTGGAAAGCGTCACACAAAGATTCCTAGATCCTAATTCATCCTTTTTTAATGAAGGCATTGTGCCCACTCCCCTTTCCACAAAGGTTCAGCACGTGCTTGTGCAAACTGGAGTGTAACCTTTCACAGCTTGAAGTGGATTTTCTGTGAGCATCTTCTCCTGGAACCTTATTAGCAGTTAGCATCATGCAGCACCTGAGGCTGTGCTCCTGGAAGCTAACGGCAGAGCTATTGCTGTTGACAGTGCTGGATCAGGCTCGGAATAGAACCAGCACAGTCTCCATTATGTGCCCATGACTACGAACCACCAGCTCAAAGAGCAAGCTGTGGACTAAATGAAAATCACAGAACAGCTCACTGAGTGATGAATGAACAGCAGAACATCCATTTCAACTGCTGTGCCTCAGTTCTCCACAGCTGGTGAAATGGAGAGGAAAGTTGCCTCTGTAAAGCTGTTTCTACATCTGAGCATCAACATCAGAACCACGCTCAAAGGCTGAGTTGGGCTAAATAATGTGTTTGTTAAAATGGGTTAGCTCTGGTCTCCAACTCACGCAGCTATAGGTAGTTCAGACTCTTACCGACCAATCTGATTAGTTCCTCACGCCAAAGCATCTTCCAATAATAATCATGGTGCACTTTTCTATTGTAAATCTCAAAGTGCTCCACACAGGTGGGTATTTATCCTTCCAGTCGGAAGAGCTCTAGGACTAAAATTCATAGTGAGGTGCAATTGGGTTAACACCCGGCAAGTGTAGTTTTGCAGCCAGTGTGCGGTGTTGATGTGATCTCACTTTCCTGGAGCCTAGTTATATGGGAGCCAGGGCGGGTCTGAACAGAAAAGTTATTCAAGTATAGCTAGAACAGTACAAAAAGAACAGGAGTACTTGTGGCACCTTAGAGACTAACAAATTTATATGAGCATAAGCTTTCGTGGATAAATTTGTTAGTCTCTAAGGTGCCACAAGTATTCCTGTTCTTTTTGCGGATACAGACTAACACGGCTGCTACTCTAGAACAGTACAGTTAAAGTGGTACAACATCCACCCCACACCCCAGTGTGGATGAAGTTATAGCAATATAAAGGTGCCTTATACCAGTGTTGTTTATTGCCACAGGGGGAGGCCATTAAGCTACCCTTCTAGCAGTATAACTACCCACAGTTGGGGTTGTACCAGCATAACTATTTTGGTTAAAATTGCACCTGTCACCAACACAGTCATACTCGTACCAAAACTGTGAGGCCAGGTCTGCACTGCAAACTGCCAACATGGCTATGCTGAGCGGGGGGCTGCTGCGCACTGGGGGTTGGTGCGCTGTGCCAGCAGAATCCCCTAGCTAGCTAGTTATTCTGGCAAAAGTGTGCTTTAACTGAGATGGTTTGTTTCACTCATGGAGGCTGGAATAAGCTAGAGTGCCAAAAGCTTGGCTTTGTTACCATGAGCCGCATCCATCCTTGGAGCGCTTTGCCGGGATAGTCTAGCTATATTGGCAAAGTGGTCCTAGTATAGGCATGGCCTTAGCATAGGCCTGCTATCCTTGTTTAACCTTTGATTATCCATGTACACACCTAGCTGCTTTCAGCTGCCATCACTGCCATAAATGAGCTGGGAGGAGGTTCGTAACCTCCCTGGCTGTGCTGTCTAACTATGTGTAGTGGAGAGAAACTGTGTCTCCAGGAGCACAATGCTCTTTGAGAAGGGAAATGCTGCTGCAAAATCTCCCATTAACTTGGTCACCTTGGCAACGCTCTTCCATTTCTGCATGAATATGCAACAGCATCCTGTCAAAGGCACCATCTCCGTCCCTAGGAACTGTCTCCTCCTAATGGCTTAAAACAGATTTTCAGTGGACTTGTTTGAGCTGGAGGAACTTGTATTACCATTTGTTTAACCAGTGTTGGGCTAACCTCTACCTAGGTGTATTTTATTGCAGCCCGAGGGATTGACACCCAGGTTAATTTTGAAGTGGTTCCAGTTGGAATCCCACGTGGTTGACTCCTTTTGTAAACACTTAG